GTGCCCCCAAGCTGGATGGGGTTTGTGACAGAGAAGGATTTGCCGCAGGGATTTCAGCAGCTTCTGGTGACGAGGGTGTGCTGAGTGGACATGTAATCCCGTGGTTTATACTGAGTGTTGTGAGGTGCTGTCACAGCAGCGCTGTGCTCGTTACCAAATAAATGATCCAAGGCGAATCTGCTGGGGCCTCATGTTTGGTCTGCGGGATGCTGCTGTGCGATCTGAGCACAGCTAGCATCTCCAAAAACTGTCTAAGCAAAGCAGCTCCTTGATTTCCATTCCCGAGGTGGGAAAGAGCAACTCGGTCTGTAGGAATATAGGTAGGGAGGCGTATAAAGGACATGGGCTGGGTGACTTGGGGTTTGCAGCCCGTGTCACTGCTCCCCTGGGAAGGGAGGCTTCAGTGACGAGCCGCTGAGGTCAGGAAATGCAGGGGAGTTGCTGGGAGTTTGGTAACTCTGTCCCACACAAAGGGAAACATTGTCTCAGATTCACCCAAGGACAAACTGAGCCAGGTTAAGGGCATCATTCTGCCCCCAGAAATTATTTTATTGCCACCTTGAGCAGCAGCAGGATTGGGCCTTGACCCACTCCAGCACATGAAGGGCACTGAAGCTAGGAAGGCCAGCCAGGAGCCTGCTCTCCTGGTCTAGTCCTGTCGGCAAGAAAGGTTATTCTTGCTTTTGAAAGGCAACAGAGCTCAACCTAAAATAGTGAGACATATCGTCATGCCACTGCTCTGATGTCATCTGTGACAGCCAGCCATGGCAGGCTCAGGCCTTAGTGCAAGTGCTATCTCAGTTAATGCTTGTAATCTGGGAGAGCTGAGCCCCAGGGGAGCAAGCAGCCTTGCTGGGAGGAAAGACTGGAGGACAGAGCATGGATTTTGTGCTTATTTCTTGGCCTTCTTGCCCTCTCCCTTTTTCTTCATCTTCAATATGAGGAGTGTCTGGAACAAGCAGCTTTTTTGGATGTGGGTGGCAGCACAGGTCGTAGCTGTCCCCCTCACGTCCTGCTCATTCTTCTCCTGCCACATTTAGCGCTCCTCCTCAGTCCAGGAATAGTAGGTAAGCACAGTGTGTTTCTCTTTCAGGGCCAAGCCTTGTCCTTGGTGCAGACAGCACCTCTCGCTCAGCCTGGCAAGACAGCAGACTCCAGTTACTGCAAGCCTGAGGGCCTTCAGCAGGTTTTCCCTGCACATCCCTATGGAGGGATCATTTTACCTATCCGAAATCCGGGTAGAATTGCCCCTGGCTGCTGAACTGAGCTTTCCCAAAGGGACCAAAAAAGGAAATGTGCCTGATGGGACTTTTCAAGAGGTGCCAAGTCCAAATACCTTCATGCTCCTTTGAGCTTCCCCCACCAGCCCTGATGTTGCAGACGGCCTCTGTCCACTGATGGGGACTCTGAGCAAGTACTGCACACGTGGGTCAGAGCCTGCTTTGCCACCGCTCTGAAGAAAAGGCCACATCTGTGTGGTTTGGATGGGGCTGAGCTTGAGCCGAGAGCTTTGCTGAGAAGCAGGTTATATCAGTGGTGCTGTAACCCAGCTAATATGCTGTGAGCTGTTGGGAATGTGGGAAAAGCCAGGACATGTCTGCCTGCAGAAGGCCGAGGACAGGTAGTCTTGGTGGCACTCGGCAATGACTTATTCCTTGCCCATTGAACTAGTGAGCCATGCAGAGGAGGAGGAGAATTAGGGGAGCCAGCAGTTCTGGGGCTCACTGCTCCAGCTGCCCTGGCAGATAGGAAGCGAGAATAACCTGATGTTATTAAAAACCTGAGAAGGTGAGGATCCTTATGATTAGCACCGAGCTTTTGGGTCTCTCCCTACACTTTGCATTGCAGTAGTCTGGCAGCTCTTCTCCACCTGGGTAAAAGCTGCAGGGACGTGAAAGCAATTAGGGCCTTCTCGGAGGAGGCGTTGGGGGTGCTGACGTGAATCTGAGCCTGTTCAGCTTAATTGGATGTCGGGCACAGTGACATGCAAGCTGTTAAGCCTGCAGGTCTCTCAGTGGCCTAGGAGAGAAACCAAAGTGTGATTTGGACACTAGATGGAGACAAGAGGGTTAAGGATTGACACAAAAGCAAGAGCCCTGTTCCCTAGCAGCAGGTGGGCGAGTCAGATCCAGTGAGGTGAGTCATCAGCAAACTGGGGTAACTGCCCCGAAAACAGCAGAGAACGGCTGAACCCGAAAGCAGGACACAAGGTGCAATATTGGAGTGCTGGAGTACTTGAAAGATGAAGCCTCTTAAGATGAAGAGAGATTTTTATCTGAAAAACAAGTTAACAGCAGCTTGTATGGCCAGGGGTGGCCAGTTTACCCCCACTGCTGTGTTCAGGTTCCAAGGAATCAATGGGGGAAACTAGAACCCATCGCATCAGCCACACGCTTTCCTGTCCCACACTGGCCCAGGTTGTCACCGAGGGCTTTCAGGCCATCAGGAGGTCAGAACTGGCGCTTCCTCGCTATTTACACCACAAGGACAGTGTTGTTTAGGATATAAATGGGTTGCTTGGATTTCGTACTGCAGTTCTCACTCGCATTTGATGCTTTACTACTGCCCTGTCTTCTTGTTCTACCAGAGCTGTGCAGTCCAGCACGAGAGCAAAAGATGCTCCGTCACTGTGGTGTGCTCCCTGCCAGGAGGCTGGTGCTTGTGTGGAGCAAACACCAAGTCTGAATAAAATGAGGCAGGGAAAATGTTCAGTTGTTTCCTAGCTCCAGATTCACCCTGTCCAGTATCACTAATGCTCAGCTCGGGTGAGAGTTGTTGATACAGAGGCCTGAATCACAGCTGGGACTCCTGCCTGCTGCTGCTCTTATTTCGCATTTTTCTATCTGCTCAGCACTCTGATTAATCACACTTTCCACCTTTGACTCAACCCGGACTCCTTGTCTTGTGTCTCTCAGCGAAGTACCAGCCAATCTGGGAACTGCTTCGCTTCCAAAATTAGCTGCACCCAGCCTTAGGTGCTACAAATGACTATAAAAGATGGTTTTATGTGTGGGCAGTATTACGATTGCTCTGCTTAGCCTACACCAGCTCCCTTGTTTCTCAACACATGCCTCGCCCGATCTGTGGTAGCCTCGCTGCTCTGCATTCTGGCTAGCGTGCAGCCTCTCCAGACCGGCATGGCCCTTTGCAGAGCTGAGTCAGTGGATGAGGAGGAAAGGCGGTCCTGTAAGCTACTTGCTTGGTGGTTGCAGTTGTGTTGCTACAGGGCTGCTTTCCACTGAAATCAGTGGAGCATTGTGATGGAGCAGGTATACTCCAAAAACCAGCATATGTATCCTGCCAGGAGCTGGCAGGAGCCAGGTAATGACCTGAAGCAGGCAGCAGCCTGACCCAACAGCACTATGACATGTTTAATCTCCTCTTGCAGTACCTTTCTGAGAGCCAGTGCTGATTCTCAGTGCTCCAATACAAGTGTATTGAGTTGTGTCCTTAGGTGCCGCGTGTCCTGCTGTAGCTCCATACGCTCGTTCAGGGAAGCCTGCAGCTCCTGTTTCTTCTGTTTCACCGCTTCCTGCTTGGTCTGCGGATCTTGAAGTCTTCTGGTCAGCTGTTGGAAGCTGTTGTTGAGATCTCTCATCTCATTGCCCTCCTTGTAAATCCAGCCCTGGAGGATGACACAAAGAAGAACCACTGAGAAGGGGAGGGTGTGTTGAGGCATCAGGTAGGCAGAAGAAAGGCTCATTTGCAAAGGCATTGGTAATTTAAGACTGGACACATCTATCTGGTAGCAAGGGGGATGCTCCAGCTGGACAGAGGCCTTGCCTACCCATTTGTAACACTGACAGGAGTCCTGCCGGTGGCAAAATCAATCCATCAGAGCCACTGGACAGAGTCTGGTGGCTTTATCAGGCTGGATTGGGCTGGGGGACTGTCCTGGGGACTCCGCTCAGTGGGCTGCCTGTGAGAAATGCTCAGCCTGGACCAGTGGAACAGATGTACTCATTACACACCAGGCTGCTCACTTCCAGCTTGAGAATCCTCACCTCGTCAGAGATGGATGTAATCCTGGGGTTTGGGGAAGGTCGTGTTTCACTGACGGGGCCCCCGGCCCTTCCTGGCACCTGCTGTACCCGCTGCCTCTTGGGGCTGGGCTGGGCTGCCATTCCTCAGGACCCATCTCTTCCCTGCGGGCACCGACGCCCCCGGACCGGGGCCTGGGAACAGAAACATCGCCTCCTGGAGGCGGGGACCGGGGGGTTCCCGGGCCGGGGCCTCCCCTCGGGGTCGGGGTCGGCCTCGGCGGGCCCGGAGCTCCCGCCTTCCGCCTGCGTCCCGCGGTTGCTAGGTGACCGCTCCGCTCCCCTCTGACCCCAGGGGCGGGGCCTCAACACAGCCAATGGCAGCCCGCGCTCCCCTCCTTCGAAAGCCCGCCTCTTCCTTCCCGTGGTTGAGGCGCGAAGTGCTTAGCCCTCCACCCCCTCGGGCCAATCAGCATCCCCGCCTGGCCGGAGAGGCAGCGCCGCTACCCAATGACGAGACCCAGTGCGGCAGGGAGGAGGAGGAGGAGGCGGGAATAATCCGGATCCTCTCGCAGGAGCCGAGGGCCGGGCGGTGGGCGGGGAGGGGGGCGGTGACGGAGCGTGGATTGGCGGGGAGGGGAGGGAGGCTCGGCCTCTCCGGCGAGAGGCCCGAGCAGCCGCGG